CAAAAAAAAAAAAAAAAAAAAAAACCCAAACTTCTTAACGTGACTGTTAAAGCCCTGCACACCATGTAGCCCCCACCTCACTCCTGATGCTCCAACCCCTCCGACTCGACACCCCTGCTACTCTGACTATTTACGTCTCTTCAACACACTGTACTGGCCTCCTCTCCCACACGCAGCCCTGAACCAGATGGTCCCTGGGTCTGGGGACACTTCTCCTTCATTGTGCCCTCCGTGCCTCATCGGGCTAACGATGCTACCCATTGCCTTCTCTGCAGGGTGGCAGGCCAAGCTTATTAGGGTTCCACTAGCAGCACCCAATGCTTCCCTTGTTGGCATACTTGATTGTAATTACTGGTTTAGTTCTCTGGTTTCCCTGTAGGCCAGAAGGCTGGTGCAGTACAGGAAGGTGGTAGTACGAGTGCAGGTTTTGGACTGCCTAGGTTAGGTTTGGGGCTCTGCCTGTATTTTCTTGTCAAATTGCTCATCTATCTTTGTGCCTCGGTTTCCTCGTTCGTAAAATGGGCGGAAATAATACTGACTACCTCACAGAGTTATTGTGAGTTAAACGAGTTCATATATATATATTAATATATACATACGTATGTATATCTAAAAGGTTAAGTGGATTGACTGGTGCGTAGAAAATAAGTCTTCAGTAAACTGAGACACACATATGATGGGTACTCACTAAATACATACAGGCTTTTTATTGTTTCATTTTGCTTTTTAAACAAGGTATTCCTAAGACTCTTTTCCTGTGAGTGCTCTTTCCCTTTTTCTTCATTGTCCATTAGCTTGGTAAGATTGGAGCCCCAGAAGTAAAAAGTGTTAATACTGTATTAGCTTCCCTGTTTTCCCAGTCCATGTAAACTTTTTTTACGATGTAAAGGCATAAAGTAGAATACAAGTGGGCAAAGAAAATATTATATTCATAAAACATGTTCTGCAGCCAACCAGCAGGGCGTCCCTTGCCTCTCTAGTTGTAGATTCTGCCTCTGCTCAGATCTCTGTAGTCCTTGCCTGTTTTAGGGCCCTTTCCTTAGAGGCCACCTGCTGGGAAGTGCAATGTGGCCTGGCCGGAGCATAAAGCCCATTTGGCACAGACAGGACTGTAGCGCAAGCAAATTAAAGCACTCTCAGCGTTCCATTTCACTCTGCAAACACCCGAACAACAGCAACAACAAAACCCCATAGTTTTGGGGCTTCTTTTTAGACGGAGTCACCAAATACATTCAAAGGCAAGACTACAGATTAGTACAGCATGAGATATATGACATTTTTTAAGGTCTTTGGAGGGAATGACAAAACAAGGAGCTTCCCACTTTCATGGGCTGTAAGTTTTTGTGAAAACATCCTCTCTGAAAATAAATCAATAAACATCGTAGCTTGCTCCTGAATTTTGTGAGGGCGTTCTTATTACCTGGTAGATAGCAGGCTTTAGAAGAGTTATTGTCATTTGGATGTTCGGATGAGTCACTGGGTCTCTTGCCCCCAGAGGCACCTCATTATGATTCAGAGCAAAGTACTGAAAGCGCTGGGGCTTCCGGAGGGAGCCCGGTGGGGGTTGTGGTGGCTCCTCCGTTGGCACAAGGCTTAATTGACACCTTTGATGCAGCCTAAGACAGAACCCGCACCTCCCACTGCTGCTTGGGAGACGTCAGCCTTACGCAGACAAGGCATCTGCTGATGAGTCCTGCATCTCATTCAGCCTGCTCTGGGAGCAGCCTTAGCCGTCCCTAGCTAATCCCACCGTTTCCCATTTCGGCTGGTGCTCTGCTCAGGGCTGAGAAGAGATTTCACCTCTTGGCTACTGTCAGGTCCAACACTAAGACTGTGTCCATGTTAGAGCTCATAGAAGGTAAGTGCAATGCATCGCCGCTCTGCCTCGTGGAAAGCATTTATTATGCACCCTCAGGAATGTGTGTGTCTCCCGGCTAATTCTACTTCACTGACTGCGGAACTGTAATGTTGTCATTTTTACAAGTAAAACAGAGGCACCTCATGTATCTTTATAAAATCATGTTTTTAAGTGTTTTACCTGCTCTTAGGGGTGCTGTTACTTAAAGAAAAGAATTGCTTACTTGACTTCTGTGGCTTTAATTCAGTTCAATGAGAGTGGTGTCTAAAACTCTTGAGACTCGAGTAGAATTCCAGTGATTCGAACCTGTTAGAAAGTAGCTTTTCTTTTCAATGGCAGCAAAGACAAACTATGAGTTGTTCCTCAGCGTCTGTGGCCAGTTACTTTGTCCTGTTCAAGGCAGGTCCAACAGACTCAGGCTAGGGTGATGGACGGGGGCAGAAGTGGATGCAGGAACTTTTTCCGGAAGTAAGTTATTAATTATAGAAATATAGTGATCTGTTAATCAGGTCACTGGGAATGTCACTAGTGAGCTGTGCTAATATCTACTCCTGCTGGGTAGCACTGGGCAGCTAAACTAAAGAATTAGGGATGAATCCCGTTGAAAGTATCTCAGGACCTTACCCACGTTCCCGAAATCCCTGTTGGCACTGTTAAAGTCATCGTTAATAAATTCATCAGGAAAGTTGTGAAGAGTGCATTTAAAAATATCATTCTGTCACCTGCTGCTCTATTAAACACAGGATTAACAAAACAGTGACTTTCCAAAGAAGGCTGCTCCCCAAGGCTCTTCTCGATACAGATGAAAGGGTGTCTGGAGTTTTAGCACATGCCCCTCTATAACTGTTTATTTCTCGGAGAAGATGATTTGTCGTGAAAATTCTTTAACATGCCATTTTTTCTCTCTGTGTGATTCTTTGTGTTTCCAGTTAATGGAACCCCTGGTAGTCAGCTCTCTACTCCGCGCTCGGGCAAGTCGCCAAGCCCATCACCCACCAGCCCAGGAAGCCTGCGGAAGCAGAGGGTAAGGCAATAAGCACGCTGCCCGTTTCAGACCTGTCTCCACTAGGTGCGGAATGGTACAGGTGCCAGCAAATAGTGCTGCTTGTCTCTAGGTGATGACCAAGCCAGGGCAGGAGGTGACCAAAGGTGGGTCACTTATTATTGCTGTGGTTTAGCTAGAACTCAGGGTGTTTAGTTTCTTTGTGAAAGTTCAGATTTGGAACTTTCACAAGAATGTGCCTTTGCTGCTTCACTTTTAAATACCCTCCTCTTTTTGTTCTGAATGCACAGACGTCATGAGCTCCGGTTTGTAAGCTTTCATGGTTGTAATGAGTTTTGTTAGCTATCCTCATTGACCACCAGGAAAAGAAAAAGTGCTGGTAACCGGGGGCGGGGCACGGGGTCCTGGTGGGCGTTGCGTGTGGCATGGAGTGGTGTTCCAGAGCAGCGTAGGGTCCACGGGGCAGGGGATGGGGGCGTAAGGCCTGTGTTTTTGTGAATGAAACTCACATCAAGCACCTTCTCTTTCATCACTACTTGCATTTATTTTTAGCCTCTTGGGTAATAACAGAGAAATTGGCTGAGTTTAGAGACCGCAGTGAAAAAGTTACCGGAAACAGTGTTAGCTTCTCCACACTATGGAAGGGGGTGGAGAGCAGTGCTTCTTTCAAGATGGAAGAACTCTTGCTCTCATCCCTTCACAACCTGTATTGTTTGTCTTTTCCAGTAACAATGAGGCAAGAATGAAAGGAGTGGGAAGGGGAGAAGGGAGGGAGGTACAGTGGAAGAAATTGAAGGCCCTTCATGGTCCTGATTTCAGAAGTGGGCGGTTGTCCTGAGTTGCTCCTAGGAGGTTTTACGATGGTGCTCACCCACTATTTTAATAAGAAAGGACTTTTTGCAGGCTACTATACTCAAATGCTGGACTTTTGAATTTTGTTCCTTTTATTATGTGTTTTAAAATAAGGCTTCTAAGTTCCATAAATTTAAGCTTCCTCCAAGATGGAAGGCCCTCTCTTCAAGATTCCTGCCCAGGGGGTGTCTTTAGGCCACCAGAACCATCAGCCGTCTAAAAGTGGAGGGCAGGGAGACTCAGTCAGTCCCCGGTTCCTTCAGAGCCTGTTGCACCAAATATCAGGTTTTATTATCTTTCTTCACTGGTTCTCCTGGCATCAGGTTGAGCTTGTCTGGTTTGTTTGATGAAGCCTGGGGTTTGTTTGGTACCAGCTTGTCCACTCAGTGGCTTTGTTATCTTAGATGAGTCTATTATCTTTTCTGGGCCTCAGTTGAAAAAACAAAACAGAGCTTCTTTCCAGATAGAAAACTCAATAATTCTAGTTCCATTTGAGTGTTTTCACTGTGGTTTCTTCTTGGCCACAGTCTGATTTGGCATTTGAATGTACAGGAATCCTTAGTGAACTACTCAAAGAAGAATTGGCCAAATTCATTTAATCTCCTAAAGGCCTATCCTTGAGTGGAGAAAGAGCTGGTGTGGTCATTCTTTTCTTGTAAATGTTACCCAGCAAGGCTCCAAGGGACAGCCATTAGGTATGGCATGGGAAGGGCCCTCTTTCAGAGGACATTCTCTCTCTCGAAGTGTCTATCTTGGAGAGTACACCTCACATAGAAATCCCTCTTTAATCTCTGAGCTAGTTGAACTCAGATTAAGGATTTATTGGTGTAGCTCTTGCTTAGTTGTTGAGATTAAATTTAGAGTGATTGAGAATGCCTGCTACAGATGGGAGCTTCTCTCCCTTCTTGTTTGCTTGGAGACTTCCATCTTGGGATGTAAGGCTTTGCTCAAATGTCCCTTTGTTGGTAGAATGAAGCTAGAATTTCCTTCTTCTGCTCTCTTGTTCTCTGTTTCACAATGATTTTGTCCAATTGAGGCAAAAAATTTCCATCCACTGTGTGGCCACTGGCTTATATAATTAACATTTCTAGCGCTTGGGAAATTATTATAAGGTATGGATCTATTATAGATTCTTCATTTTGCCATTTAAACTACCATAGCACACACTGTACTTGAGAGAAAACACAATCCCATTTGTTTTAGGGTGACACAGGGTTTGTCACCATCTGAAAACATTTATTAAGCACATATTGTGAGCAGGGCACTGGATATATTCAAAGATGGTTCAGTTTCCAAGCTTTTGAATTTAAGCCATAAATGAACATCCCCCATCCATGTACCATGTCAGTGCATGGAGACGTTCCCAGCTGCTTTAATGAGAAGAGCTTTCATCTTGGTGTGTAGGCAACTGCATCAAATAAGCCCTCCCAGTTAAAATGGGCCTAGAATATCCCTAAAAACTGATCCTGTTTCAAATTTGGTTAATGTTCTTCTCAAATGGTTGGCTATACTCCTATGCAGGAAATACTGAAATAAGTGAAAGATGGCATGTGCTAAAAGAAGACACTTCAAAGAATAAATTAACTCTTTTTATTGCAAATTGGAAAACAGTAGCTACTTCTATTTTTTCCCTTCTCTGTTGCCTAGCAACATGGCCAAGAAAATGAGTTGACTGCCCTCACCCCATCACAACACACACACACACACAAACACAAACACACACACAAACACACTCCATACCCCATTTTAAAATACAAAAACATAAGCTATTTTATTAAAAGGAATACTGAGACATTTGACTAGTTTCTTTACAGATAAGAAAATCTATGTTTTTATTTGTATTAATTATGATTCAATTAGCTTTTTTTCTTCTGTTAAGATCTTATTTTCATGTTACCTCTTTTGACATTTTAGAATAGTCTTACACAATAAGAGTCTGCATGCCAGACATTTTTCTTCATAAACATATTCATGGCGTTGTACCAAGTAACCTATTTTTCCAAAGCACAGTTATTTAAGTTGCTGTCTAGAAGTGTTTGGTCACAGAAGCAGATCTTGGAGGCTCTTTTCCCACCCATGAACTTTTTTTGGTCCCATTTCTTAATCCATCAGGAAGAAATGTGTTGCGTTGTGTAGGTTGAATGAAGCTCCCCATTATACTCCCACATCCCTGACTTTTGTAGATTATCTGATCAGTAAGATGATGTGAGGAGTGGGTGGTACGAAATAGGAAAAAAGCCAACTCTAAACACTCTCTGCAGAGCTGAACTGGTTGCCTGGCTACCAGCAGAGAGATCTAGTAGCAGGAAGGGGCGGGAGGGAAGAAGAGAGGAGGTGATGAGTTGAGTGTTTGGAGAACAGGGAAAGAGCATTAGGAAGGGATGGGGTGGAGGGGGGGAATATTGCACTTTTTCTGTTGTCCAAACATAAAATTTTGAAAAAGCAATTCTTGTTGGGTTTATGTTCCGTGCCAATGCAATGCTTGAGTTGCTGCTCTGGGACCAGAATTTGTTGAATGCCAGCTGGGGCTCCCAAGAAATTATTTTGTGAGGTAAGCAAGTTCCATTTCTGCCCAGAATGGGAAGAAAGTGTTCAAGGAGGAATTGCCTAGACTCATAGAAGCAGAATTGGCCTTGACAGATCTCAGGGGCTGTCAATCTCAGGTGGGCACCAGTGAAAGCAAAACCTCATGAGTGGGTCAAGCAGCATTTTCTTGCCAAGACGGTGAAATCAGCACTATTTCGTCTGTTTAGATGGTTTCTCTATTATTATTTTTTCTCATATCCCAAATTGGCGACATTAAAAGTTATAATGATATTAGAAACCAAAGGATACCCATTCATTGTTGCTCCCAAGAGAGCAACAGGGCACCCAGAAAAGCCAAGTAAACAAATCTGTACCGCCCTTCATCTTTCAGGACCTGTACCGCCCCCTCTCTTCGGATGATTTGGATTCAGTAGGAGACTCAGTGTAAAAGAGACAATGGAGCAATGTATATGGTTTGTGATTGGGTGAAGGTTTCTCATTTTCTAAGCAAAAGTCTAACAGCAACGTACACAAAAGAGTTTTGCATACCTTGACATGATAAAGACCAAATCATGCAAAAGTAAATATGTAGGCATTTTGTATTCATGACATTTATCCTTGAAGGAGAAATTTTCTTCTAAATGTCTCCTACATTGATTTGGTTGGGAAGAGTTTGAACACAAAATTGCTTAATTGCTGAGATTTTCGTATGAAGCCTGGCTCTAGATGAATTTCATACGTGAACCCCAAATGGAGTACAGGAACATGCTAATGACGTAGCAGCAGTATAGAGTCATGATTTCTGTAGATGGAATATCTTTTTAATCATAAGTAGTCATATAGATTTTTCTGTACTTTCTACAAAGCATATTAATATGGCACTAGCAGGCCTTTTTTTCTTAAGTTATATTATATTCTTTTTAAAATTTGGATTGCAAAATAATAAAAGTTTTCAGTTAGATTTTTTTTCTTCCTGAATAGTAGAAAAAGCTACTTATCATTTTGTGAGTTGGTATATCTTAGGGGAAAAAAAACTCACGACAAGGACACATCTCATGAAGATTCTAAAATTAAGCCTTAGGAACTTTCCTTGTTTTTGTTGTCAAGTAAATTTTATTTTTTATTGAAGTTATCTTTGATTGGAAACAGTGTAAGTATAGCTTAAGCTCTATGCCAACATGAAAAACTTGTCCAATGGCATTGCTATAATATTCTTCATGTCCAATGGACTATAATCATTTATGTAATTTTTCAAATGTGCAAAGGCTGAAGCTAGGATTTTTTTTTCTCACATGCAGAGCTAAAAAAAATTTTGTCTGGACTTTTTCCAAAAAATCAATTTGAAAAGCAAAATTATCTTAAATGGTGCTGTATAAATCAGGCCCAGAATATTCAAATCTCCATTCTGATAAATCCTGGATCTTGCTGGTGTTTTGGAAATTTCCATATGCAAAACTCCTTTTGTGTTAAACCAAGTAAGTCTATAATTATAACCCGTTGTTAAACATTAACCTACTAATTCTGCTCTTCTAGTCCTCTGTTTTAAACATTATAGTCAGCTTTGCTTAGAAATAAAATAATTATTTTAAAATCTGAATGTTAAAAATTAATTTAATGTGTATGGTCTGTTGTATTTAAGCCAT